TCAGCTTCTACAGTGCGTATTAATATTGGTGAATGTGGAGTTAATATCGTAGCTACGGCTCTCACCCTAGCATATGGCTTCTTACGTATATGCCAATATACCGAACGATTGTGAAGTTAGCTGTAATATTACAACAATATGTACCACATCACGCACCATTTAACCTTACCTCTACCTCCAGCCCTACACACACGGTATTTGCTAAAGCACTTTCCTATACCTAAACTCAATTATTCTACCAGAAACACTTCAAAAGGTACTACCGAGTGTTTGCTTGATAGAATTATCCCTACTGTAGCTATCAGAGATGCTGTGTTGTGTCAAAACCAGCCTAAGGAATTTCGTGGGTTCGTGCGTAACATAAGCCAAACCCAGCTGTAATTTCTCTCACTCCACGTATTTTTTAAACGAGCCCAGCAAATGCCTTGAAAGCCCCAGTTTGTTTGTTTTCCCAAGGCCAGCCTAGATGTGCTACCTCACTGCAGGCTTCACTGAGGTGGCTGCTGCTGGTGCTGCTGCTGCTACTGCTGCTGCTGCTGCTGCTGCTGCTGCTGCTGCTCCTGCTGCTGCTGCTGCTGCTACTACTACTGCTGCTGTTGCTTCTGCTGTTTTTGTTTCTGCTACTGCTTGTAACAATTTATATACACATTTTAGCTTTGTAGTATCCAGATGTCGGTTTTACACAAAATCAGGTTCAATACAATTTAGCGAAACTCATAGCATGTCATATCATAATATTAATAAATGCTGGTTTGGTAGAATGCAAATCATAGATGTTAAGTTCTCTGATATTGCTGAACTGCTTTCGTGCATTCAAAAACAAGTTAATAGCTGGAATGTTATCGCATATCATTTTCCCCTCTACACTAGCAATGCATGTGAACCTATCTATTTCATACTCAAATCATTCCGACTGAAGCTGTGGAAACGATGGATGCAAGTTTTGCCTTCAAAAACCAATGACGTACTTTTTTCCTGCACATCTGCCCAGTACATTCAGACAGGATGCAAAAAATTACACATCTGTTTAGTGCAGCAATCAAATGTACATGACTGTTGTGACAGGACTTTCCAGTTCGAACACGGCAAATAAATTAATAGTCTTAAATATCATAATAGTAGGAAATAGTAGGTCAGCAACCAGGCACTGTATTTTCTCTGGAAGTTGGGCTTCATGGATGGGCCTTGTCTGTCACTGTTCCATGGAGTTCCAGCTATTACTCAGCTTGAGATAGGGAGTGCCATAACATTCCTGCCTTTTTCACTGCCATTTCCCCAATGATGAAATCCAGAGTAGTCAGATTACTTGATAGGAATTCATTGGGCAACATCCCACGCTGCCTTACAAGTTACACATGGGCTTGGCATAGACATGTAACTATGTACACATTTTAATCTACAATGGTTAAAACATAAATAATGCGAAACCATGCAAGTCACGCACTTTTTCATACTATGTGTAAATAGCTATTGCAAATAAATTGGCTCCACGAAAGTCAAACGTATGCACTGATCAATCCTGGTATTGCTCCTAGTCTCAGTCTTGTGCACAGCTTCACTGAGACTTTGTCAACAAAGTACCTTTGCCTCGTGAGATTACATGAAAACCTATCTACGTGCTTACGGAAACCGGTGCATGTACAGTAATGCCCCACGATACGATAACTTGCATTACATATATTTACCCATGTACCATACATAATTTGTCAATTAGTACCACTGTACCACAGGGTTCATAGTAGTAAGACACATGTTGAAATAAGGACTTATACGACCCTTTCTGGAGGCCAAAATAAGACTTTTTTACGCAATTTTCTGATAGATCATTGACTATTAAAGTACACTAATAATATTTATATAAACAATTGCACAGCAGATTTAATTATTCCGTATTATATATACAACAATACTGCAAAAAATAAGGACTATTAAGTACTTTTCTAAGATTTCACAAAAAATAAGTACTAATAAGGGCCCTTATTTTATTTTTGGCAAAATAAGTACTTATAAGACTTTGGAAGACCCGCTACGAACCCTGTACCAGTTTACTCACGATTTGAAACGAAATTTCGCCCGTGCGTAATTTTTCAAACGAATGAATTGGACTTTCTACCTAAAAAAGCTCCCGATCCTGTGTTGCATTATTAAATGTTTAGCAATATTTACTTGCACTCATAATTATGTTCTGAGAATCAGTGCCCTGCACCAGATGACTCAAGTCAAGATACATGTCACCAATACTCATTCTAAACTACCTTTCCCCATGTTAAACTACCAAATATTCAATTGATATATATGTTTGCTAATGTTTACTTGCATTAATAACTAAACTTGTGTTGGGAGAGATCAGAAGATTATCTACTTCTTTTGATAAAACAAACCTTGTGTAGGAACGCACATTCCATTATATAAGGAAAGTCAATGCAACCGTTGAAGTTAACGAATTTCGAATTACAAACGATTTTACTGTCAGGGTGCGAAATTAATAACGCGAGTCCGGAGTCAAATACTCCCTGATTTACTGTCGGACTGCCTGATTTGACATATGCAGGAGTCTGTGTGACTCCCTGATAATCCTGTTATACTAACTAGTAGTAATTCGTTCAAGAGCACAGCCTCACGGAATTACCGTATTTGTTAGCAAATGTCCAAAGAAAATTTGGCAGACGTGCATCGCATGAATCTTCAAAATACGCACATGCGTTATTGTTGTTACACTTTAGTTTAGAACTTTAGATTGCGGACTCCCTCATTTTTCTATGGACTCCCTCTTTTTGAGGCCAGGGAATCCGTTGGACTCCCTTGTTCAAAAGTTAATTTCTACCCCTGTACTGTTATAACGTTGGTAATGCCGTGTATACCTTACATCTTTATACATGCCCTAACCAGAGAGACATGATACAAGATTGCGTGGCACAGCTTTGCTGTTGATCCCGAGCGCTGCGCGCGGATGAGACGCGCAGTTCCGCGGGATATGCGCACGCGACCGCGGGGATGTTCAAGTATGAAGCGCTGTCCGCAGTGGAGACGTGCGCCAAATTCTAGGACCGGCGCACATCTCCACAGCGGTCAGCGGATGGTCTGTAGTTTTAGAAGATAACAATGAAGACTTTGTTCTAAATAAGAACTATCGGCGGCTAAATAAGAGCAATATACAAACCTTTGAATTTCTTGACTAGTCAGTCAAAGGGCTTTTTGGGGATCCATTATGCAGAGCTTCCAATTGAAATGGCCCATAAAATTGTCAAGTGGAATTGTGTTTTTCGGAACCCCAAAGAAAATGTCTCCCTCTTACAAGCACCCCCTCCCTGATCAATCACGCATTCAGGCGTAAACAATAACAGAGATGAAATTGTGTTGAGTTTATTGCTCTTGGCGCACGTGCATTGACGTACAAGACTGATGAAAGGGCTCAAGGATAGAGAGCATGGTTGTGAGATCAAAGCCGATGTGTTACGCTACATAGTTGTCAATCTCGCCATGCTCTCTATCCTTGTACCACAGGCGGCTTGGAACGTCTCAATAAAAATAAATCTTCACACAATTTTTCACAATGATCGACCGCCTGTGTGCAAAATAGGTGAACGTATGTGAAACATATACGGTTAGTACTTACTGTGACATATCCGTGACTAACTGACACCACTAAATTCAATTGGTAAAATGTTCCATGCACCTTAAGAAATGTGAGAAATGACGAGGTTATCATCGCAGAACTCCCGAACATCGTACGTCACAAAGCTATAATATATATGTAAACAAACACGCGGGTTGCGACGTGCCTGCCTCCGAGATATCCATTTCGAGGCCCGCTAAGCCAAGCATAAAGCGCGCGGGCAAGACGTCACAAACACAGCTACGTTCATTGGCTAAAACAATCGAGTAGCGCGGTTAAGCCTGGCGCACATTGCTGAACATTTTCCCAAACAAATGTTTGTCCGAACAAATGTTTTTGTCTGGCAATGTGCGGGTGAACAATTGCTGAGCGCACATTGCCGAACATTTTCCCAAACAAATGTTTGTCCGAACAAATGTTTTTGTCTGGCAATGTGCGGGTGAACAATTGCTGAGCGCACATTGCCGAACATTTTGCAGCGAACAACCTCGTGGCGCCGTCTAGTAGCTGTGTAGTAAAGAGTCGAGTGATCGGCGTGTGCCCAATCGACGTGATAGGCATTTACAAATGTTCCTAGAATTGTCCGACATTCAGCGCACATTGACAAACATTCGACGAACAATGTTCGAGATACCAAACATTTCCGATTTTCAGAAACATTGTTCGGAACAAATGTTCGGCGACCTTTTTCACCGCACATTGCCGAACATTTCATGGAACATTGCTACGATAATGTTTTTGAGCAAAATGTTCGGCAATGTGCGCCGGGGCTTTAGAGATTTTCGGAATTATTTAATTTAAAAAAAAACTTCAATGTTCAATTAATGACGCACTCGTTCACTTCCGAAAGCGGGTTAAAATGCCTAATTTTTACACTTCGGTGCGAAATGCATCGGCCGGGCCTTTCATTATTTATGAAAAGCAGACAGTCTCACCAAACACCTCCACACAGTAACGGGTCACGTCCTTGACGCCCCATTCATGCCCATCAACGAAGAAGGTTTATTATTCCGATTACGGAGATGCTAAAATGCAGCAGAATTAAGGACGTAGCGCAGTGCGCTAAACGGCGTGCTATTTTCGTTTTTGTGCCAAACTCTATCGTAGGAAACCGTTCTAGCCTAGCAGAATGCCCTAGTTCCTGAGATCGGCGATTTGGTACTGTGATGGATCCCCACCTTATATTATATTATAGAGAGGTGCGGCGTAGGCTGTGATTGGAAGACACAAAGTGTCAATCCTCGGCGCGCCTCGGCATCATGGCCGCATCACGTCTAGACACATACCTTACCTTCCTGAGTCACATGCCTCACATACATTACTTAATACATGTATATACATACATGTACATCATGTCTTAATAGCTGTCAAGAGGATTACTTACATCGTGGGTCCCAGTTCTCCACGTTAAATATGCAACACTTTTCCTTGCTACTGGATGAAGTCACCTCGTCTGCCGGCGCATCAACTGCAATAGCCCAAACAAAATTACGTGTATTCAATTCAATTCAGAAGATTTATTCGTACTAAACGTATTAACTTATTTTTACGTATCAAACGATTTTCTGCGCTTATAGTTATGCACTGACATTCGATTAGTGTAAGTGCCATGACAACGAGTAACCTGCGTGAAGATGCTGGGATGCGCCTTGGAAAATGAAGCCTAGCCCCCACACCATTTTAAAAATATATTGGCAACAAATGTAATTACACACAGTTTTGGTTCCACTTACATGCCTGGTTGCTGCTTGATGATGAGTTGCTATTTATATATTAATGCCTGTTGTTGGGGGCACTATTCCTTCCCAAAGCAACACTATGACAGCATAGTGCCCCCAACAACAGGCATTAATGTTTTTAGTGCATCACATGACTTTGCAATCTACTCGGCAAATATGAAGTGAATAAGACAAAGTTTCTTAAACGAACAATTTCAATTTGTATTAAAACACAATGCGTTATAATAACAATGCGTCGTGCAAGCAATAGTGCCCGCTCAGGTGGGCACTATTGTTTCATAGTACCTGCGACGTTATCCAATGGAATTTCAACGATTTATCATGTGATGCACTAATCGATAATAGTTGTAAAACGAACTACAACCGATCACAATTTGTGTCTAGGTGTTCATAATAATTATTAAATTATATAGATTCATCAGCACATGCCCACAGTGCTCAGCTTACCGCAAAAACATTCACAGTTGTCTAGTATAAATATAACATAATGCAATACATAGTAGTTAACCATAGGCAGGTGGAAATTTCTTCATTGCCATCTCCTGAGATCAGAACAAAAGAGGTATACAGTGCATTACTGGACACGCCCAACAAACTCAATAATGGCGCTGGATTAGCCCGACCAGGCTGTGCGACCGATTGTCTATACTAGTACCTTACTACCTAATTAGTAGCCACAAGTTCCCATCTCGCTTAACACTACGTGGCGTGTAACTAGTCGGAGAGCCTGGTCGGTTTACCTAATTAGGTACAATTATAGTTATACTTCTAACCCTAACAAGACCGTTTCTTGGAGCTAGCGCCGGATATATATTCTAAAATAAAAAATGTTTAAAATGCTTTCTTGAGTTCCAACTCTTAACTATAGCACAAAAAGTCACTGTGCTGTGGGTGTGGCAAATCACATGCGCTTCCCAAAAACAACTTGAAACGCAATAATAAAGCAACATCGTCCGTAAAATACCAACACGAGCCTCATAGTCATACTCATGGTCATATTTACACATCGTGGGAGGAGGAGTCTCGGTCATTAAACACATGTATTGATGTAAGATGTACAGCCCATAGATACACTTGTTCTTTAATTAACTTAGATGTTTGCTTTAATATATAGCGAATAACGACCAAAACGCATGCCGAGCGTTTGAAAATGTGAAACTACTGACGTGTGACGTGCGAGTCCTGTATTCGTCGTGTCTAGTACTAGCTAACAACATTTACGAACGTTCTACGTGAATATCCTTGCACCCTAATCCTCGCTACATGCACCCAACATCAAAGTTCCACCCACAGAGAGCTTACAGTTTACGAAAACGTTAAAAGAGCCCGCCTAACCTTTCTCGTAGTCTTCCTCCATCTTGCCGTGGCTGCGTAATGCGTTACAGCAACAGCAGGGAGCATGCCATTATTTCGAGCAACGCTTCAATGCGCAATGACTGCATTGTCAAACTCTACGCTGAAGGGGCCGTGTCATAACGCCAGCAGAATGCGCTGAGGATGATGAAATGGAATCGATGCTCACTAAGCTATCACTGACGCACTAAGCTATTTCAGACGCGGTTGCTGGTTTTCAAGTGTTAGTGAAACTTGCTACTGCAAGTTAGAAACGTGTGGCGAATACAGCTATGGATATTTCCGGACCGGCGTCATTTTAAATGTATCAATATATTGCCATATAAATAGTTTATACGTGTCTGTCTGACTTTCATCTTCGCCCGCCCCTCTATCGCTTGTCAAACAAATGTGGTATATGAAGTCACTTCACTACGTCTATAAAGTATGATATGAGCTGTACACACTTACATGTAGGCGATAGAAGAGTTATGAAATAGTATCGAGGAATAACAAAAAAACGCGAACGCATATACTTCGCAGCACTTTTTCTACACATACAGTCCTGTTGCTAATTAATGTCGATAGGATGTTAGTGTAAAAGCAGTGTTTTGTGAATCAACAACACTAATTATGACTATTTGAGTGATTAAAAAATATATCCCATGCTTCGTTTAATTTTTACGTCTCATGCTATATAAGATCCGATAACGCATATGGGATAGGTTAGCGTATTCTAATTTGGCTAACTGTATCAGCCAATGAAAAGCCGAGATAATATCCGAAAGGGCGAAGCTCTGCACGCTAGAATCTCTACATGGAAGGAATACATAGCAAGATACGGCCTATAATTAGCAGGTGATGCTGCAATCTTGAAAGATTTCGTGGAGCAACCGCCTGTACAGATCGGATCAACGGGTTATACGGAGTCCCACAAAGATGCTTGTACATTTACAATATACATACAATCCGAGTTTACATTAGGAGTAACTGCAAATACAGCAATATTGGGCATATTACCAGCACCCAAGCCCGAAGTAATGATATCTAATTTGTTCACAGTACTAGTCTAAATTACAGTGAAGGATTCGGAATCTAAAATTACGGGGCCTCGATTTCGCGTATATTGGCGTGCAACGGAGCCGCAAGTCACGTGGTGCTAGTCTACCGGCTACGAGACCCCCCATACAAATCTTGGATTCGCGTTTTTTTTTCAATTGTTTTTCCGTTATTGCATCTTCACGCCTACTTTAATTGGGAAATAATATCTAATGAAATTCGGATACAAGGGGAAACATATATGTCCAGGGTATATTCCTGGGTATGGTCCAGGGTATACTCCTACATATATACTCCTGGGTATATTGCGAAGAATTTCTTGTCAGACCATATGGATGTAGAGAATCAGGCTCGATTAGGGACACGTAAACAACAGGGAAATATATAGAGACTATATTATACTATATTATTTCTATGGTAAACAATCAGAGACAAAGCCCGTTGATTATATCACGCACGTACAAATAGAATCTAAAATCACTACGAAGCGCAAAGAAATACGTTCCGTGTAGAGTGATAATGATATCCGGAGTGTATAATATAGATTCAATTGTATATATTTATTAGAGTGTATAGTATAGATTGTATAATATAGATCTATATTATATACACTCCTGATGATATATATAGCATATCGTTGCATGTACAAACAACAAACAGGCCACGTGGCAACCACGTGCCATGCATTCATTCAGCACACTCACCCTGCCTTCCATTTGCTTTGCTCTTCACCATCTCAAAGGCGCCTCTCGATTAATACGGAGATTGTGTTCTGACGTTACGACACACGAGAACTTCGCGGCGATACAAGACAAGCTATTCACACGTCACGTGAAAAGGACACAGGAGATTACACACACGTTCGCTGCACTTAACAGAGATATTCACTTTCGCGGACACTGCCGGTTACGTGACCTGGCCGTCTTTCTTTCTCTCTCATACACACTTTCACACACACGCGCAGGCACGGATAGCTAGCTGCTAACAGTCCCTACACTTATTTCGTACGACTCCTCTTACAAAGTAACTGGGTCAACAGCTCAGATCAAGTCATGCATCATTGCCCGTAAAATAAGCAGAGGTGGAGGATTGGGCGTGCTGCAGTTGCCCCAAAACGTGGCGCTTTACTTGAAAGTGTAGGCGCAAGCATTTTGGCAACGTGAGGGAATATAATAAGAATAAATATGATATAATTGATAATAATATATAATAATGATTTAATTGTGCTATCGTTGCTAAACACGTGAGAAAATGCGCACCAAGCCAAGCGAGACTGCCATATAATATTGCTCTTCCCAATTAACGTATCGCGTTAGACAGGTTCCAAAGGTCCCCCGATGCCATACGCGCAAGGTGATTCGATTTACGGCGACAGTCTAACACCGCGCTTAAAATTTCTAAATTCTGTGTTATTTCCTCAGATGTGATCGCGCGTCGAGAGACAATCTATTTAAAAATCAGTTGAAAAAAAATTAGAAACTGCCGCTGTAGCGGTGTCGCCTTGTGAAATTGTTCTCGACGCTTCTCAGAAATTTCTGCAGCTCGGGTTTCTGCACCGCACAGTTTTATGTAGGTGCTGCGTGTCTATAGGACGCAGATGCTCGTAAACTTGTAAGGACATACACAGCCGTGCTGGTTCAGCACGCGAAGCTGAGTATAATAATAATATATATATATATATATAACAATAAACATATACATATTTATTATACATAACACGCACATACACACACGCGCGCACACACACACACACACACGCACGCACATACACACACACACACACACACACACACACACACACACAAACACGCACGCACGCACGCAGACGCGCTCGCGCACGCACACACGCAGACGCACACGCACGCACGCACACAAAACAAACATATACATAAACATACATAGTTATATTGGTAGAACTCAACCAATATACAGAAACCCGCGCTACGCACTTTTGCTTAGTTTGCTGCCGAGTGGTACTGGCAGTCACCTGTGACTACAGAGTTCCATGAAAGATCGTTTGAAGTTCCTTTTTTTTAAAGAAGCCAGTGCAGTTTAGCCCTATCGTAAACACAGGTGCCTTTCCACGCATGTACAGTGATTATACACCATCCGCACAGCCAGTACAGACTGTAAATAACATCTGCACCCTGTGTTCATGGAAACAGAAAAGGACGGGTTATTGCCGGTATTGGTACAGCAAACTAGGACTAGGCCACGTTCAGCAGTCATTCATGACTCACGCGCGTTTTTCCTGACAAACTGCATTCAACCGTTTTTTCTGGTTAGGCTGTTTCCAGTAAAATTGAAACTGCTTGTCGTCAACGGTCGTTTTCAACGAATTTAGATTGTCATCATGTCATGTAATGCTGTACAAAGTTGCACATTCAATCTGGCATTAGGGTTTCTGCTATGTAATCATCAGGTCGATTAATTCCCCCTCTCCCCAATTAAATTCGGCTATGAAAACATGTTATTTTGATTTTCTATACAAATTTAGGGTAAATCGGAAAGGGGAGAAGATTAAGGGCAGGTCTTATTATTATTTAGAATAATTCCCTCAAAATAAGGCTCAGAGTATATATCCAGATAGCAGCACCAAATAATAAAAGTTCTCAGGCTCTGCGTGAGCCACGAACCCAGACCTAACAATTATGTTTCACACAGCTATATAGTACTCTCCCCACCTTCCATAACTCCGATCCCCACCCCTCACTTGGGGGTGCCGCTCATGAAAAACACCAATGAGGTTTAAAGTGAAGCTAACTGAACTTATTACCGGAATCCGGAAATCCATGCAGCAAATTGTCGCTAGTTTGAGAAATGTCGACAGAAGACTGGTAAAACCTTAATTTTAGTACAATTCCACAGCAACATGCTTACTGCTCATTGAAGCGCTGCACGTATACTAATCATAAACAAGACAATTACCATGCCGTGGTTCATAGACATATTTTACAATTTTACAGAACAAAAGCATCATTTGTCTGCAGAAAGTAGTTACATAGCAGAAATTGCGTACGCCATCACGTACAGCAAGTTTTTGATGTGCACCGCTCATCATTTCCATGGTCACTGACTGGGGAATTCCGTGAAATGATGTGAAAGCAACTTATAGCATAGGAAAGCGCCAATGCCCAGGGGTGCTGGTCCAAATGTGTAGCCGATAGCACACAGATCAATACCGGAATGCTTCACCCAGATGCCAAATCAAGCAGTGTCGAAAACAAGCTACCATGGTATTTTCATAATACGGTGATTTGCTTAAATATATTATCCCTGTTTTGGATGACTCCGTAAAAGCGTGATGCTAAAGAAACAACAGATTCGTATGTATAAAGTCAATCCGCTAACATATCGCAATGGCGGTCATCGCTGTAATTCACGTGCATTTATTCGACTCGAGCACGCGAACCACTCACCTTTGAGAGCTGGAACATCATGGGCTTCCTTCTCCTCCTCCTCCTCCTTCTTCACAGACTCGATCGCCTCCTCGGCTTCCTCTGCCACTAGAGCTTCACCTGGCATTTCGCTGCGCGGGGAGAACTCATAGGGAGCGGGAGTCGACTCGGACACTTCACACAGAGGTGTGACAGAGGGCTCTGGAAAACAACCAGCATCAGGCACTACCTGTGACTCTGGATCATAGATGGGCGCCGAAGCTCCAGCGGCAAAGCTCTGTTCCCCTCCCGTGATCCCCTGCGACTCGCCATGCAAAGCCGGAAGCGATTCCCCCCACCCTGCATGCACCCCGCCCTCACTAGCGTGGTCAAGGTGGCTCTCCTCGGATGGGACTCCCTCGTACAATTGTGGCTGGACAGGGCCTGTGAGGACAACTTCCTGATCAGTTTCGGGGACAGCTTCGTTGGACCCCATCCCCTCCCATACAGTTTTTGGCAAAATTTCCTTAGCAAATTCGATACCCGCCTCCCCACCGTGTCGTTCATCAGTCAAATTCAAATCCGAAAGCTGTCCACTTGCTTCCATCTTGTGCAAGTGCGTGTCGTCAGTCGACAGTACTTCCCGACACTCTTCCCTGCTATCAGTCATGTCGTCAACAACTTCGAAAGAGGACCCCGTATCGGGACTCCACTCTTTGTGAGCTGCGCTATCTTCCTCTCCCTCGACCCTCTGCGCTTTCTCTTCAGTCGATTCTAAAGCTGCTCTTTCGTCCTCATCTAGCAACTGCAAGAACTCCTCGCGGGCAATATCGACTGGGGATTTGGAGGGCTGAACTAACTCGGGCGTAACGTTAGTGTCGCCATGCAGAGCTGGTAGCGGAGACGTGGCCTCTGCAGCGATTGTCGTGTTAGTACTATGCTCACCAGTGGACTCTTGCTCAGCGCCAGCTTGTAATGTGTCAGTAGCGGCAAGCTCAGAGTCTACCGCCGAAGCCGCGCTAACTTCTGGAACCTCGTGGGACATTTCGGCTTCGAGGGGATCAGTTGGGATTTCAGGAGCAGACAGTTGTGGGGTTGGCTCTTCTTGCTCAGGCTCACGCTCTTCTGGCTCTAGGATAGCTTCTTGCAGCTGCTGCATTGTATCGGATGGCGAAGTATATAGATCCGTCTCGTATGGCTTTGTGCTTTGGGGTTCGTCAAAGTCAACCAGCAGTCCCTTCTCCGGCTTGTCTCTCTCACCCTCATCTAAGTCGTCATCGCCGAACTCTTCTTCAACACGCTCCGCGTCTTCGTGTCCAAATTTATCAACATCCTCGGCTCCTGAGTCAGGTGTGTGCTCGTGGTCTTGCTCGCCGGAAGCGTGTTCGAAGGGGGACATCACGATATTTTTCTCTGAAATATCAGCCTCACGGTTTGCCTCCATCTCCTGCTCGCTTTCATCCTCGTCCTTCTTATCAAACTGAGATCCTGGTGCGTCATATCCGTATAGTGCCGTATCGTCTGGCGCTGATACTGGACTAGCAGACTCGAGCTTCTCAAATCCCTGGTCGGAACCTAGGGAATCGGGCGACTCAACTTGATGCATTTTGTGGTCGAATTCCTCTTCTCTGTCAACACTCTCCATATTTCTGAAAGTACAAAGTAACACAGTGAAAACTCGAGGAGTTACAGAGAAAGTAACCTACATTGGTATTTCATTCTATTAATATGGTCGCATTTATCTTACCTGCAGAGCAATTCAAAATCCACGTACAACTTCTCTAAAGACAAGTCTCAGTCTGTTGCTATCGGCGACCGGCCTAAAAGTGCGCTGCAGCTGCCAAACAGGATGTGACGCTCATTTGTGGGCGGTACTTGCTCCTGCCTTTTTTTCTTGATAAGAGTGTAATTTCGTTATTTTCTCTCAGTAAAAAGCACACACCTTATTTGCGAACAGGGTGGATCAGTTTTGTGATTTTTTAGACGCTATGAACTTAATTAATGTCTTCGTAAATATATTCAAATTTGTTGCTAAAAAGAGTACCTACCGTAGGCCTACGTAACTTAGTTGTAAAACCAGTTTCTTATTGGCGCGCAGAAACCAATAATCCATGAAGCCTCCAATGGTGAACACCGTTACTCATACGCTACCGAGTTGACTCACCCAGCTATGGCGTCGACCACGAAACAGTTATCTTTCATGCCTCCTCAAAAGTCACACGAAAATGGTCACAATTGGGAAACTGTACGAGCAAATGGAGTGACAGCACAGGAAATGAAAGAGGAGGTACTGTGTTTATTTCATTGTTGAGATTTATTTTGATGCCTATTCCTGGAAATCCGAGTAACAAAAAACTACCGGTACTGTAGCCTGTAGGCCCTACCCGTCTAAAGAAGATTTGAGCATACATGTGCCGATGGCGATGTGATTGTGATTCGTTAATTTGTCGGCTAAAAGATACATTAATATTAATGGAATTATTGAAGTAAATGTGAAACTTTCAAGTGTAGTATTGCCTATATTGGTTACGGTAGAGAAACCTAGTTCAAGTAGTTGTTTGTTTATGGTTAGCGCTTGTAAGTTGTAATTATTAATATAATTTATAATTTATATTTATAATATAAATTATAATGTTCTGTATACAAACAATTGTCACTGACACTGTGACCTGTCACTCTTGGGGAGTGGCTGGTCATGACTTAACCCGACCAGGCTGTGTAACTAACGTCAATATACAGCCTGTCATCCATCCATTGGAAAATCGTGTACCTCTACAAAAACTACCGAACAATTACGTATATTTCAAATAAAATGATCATCTAAGCATTTCTGCCTTGTTTTGTATCAAGTATAACCTTCAAGTTATAGTATTCCAGCATTGTTATTAAAACTAATACCTCAGTTCGCTGTGCACAGTGTAAATTTCAAGAGCCGAACCAAAATTTCAACCAACCGCCAACCGCCATGTTTCCAATGTGCATGCTTTTCAATCGGAACGCGGAAAACCCGAAACGACATAATATACCATAGCGTTGCAACTCGCGTTGGCGCCAAGGCCGTACGCAGGAAATTTTCTGTAGGGGGCAAATACGCAGGAAATTTTCTGTAGGGGGGGCAAAGGTACTCCCCACACCCTCTATTGCCCTATTTGTCCCATTAAAAGGCATACTCTGAAAATCTCTAGGGGGGCAACTGCCCCTGCTGCCCCCCTGCTGCGTACGGCCTTGGTTGGCGCGAGCATAAATAAGCATCATATACTCGTATATATATAAATATTAAAACATTGAAAACCAGGAAACATCAATCTACAACAACTTAATAATTATCATTGCGAAGATATGTACTTGCCTTGTGTTTAGGCCTATGCACTGTGAAAATCAGGTCCATTGCCGATTTTAGTCGCACTGAACATGGCGGACATGGCGGCTGTCTGGTTGTTTTGATCCAATTCATCTCAGAAAATACGGCATAACTTGATAATTCAGTATAGCGCCCAGTTACCGCGAGCAAGCCAGAGGTTTATAGATTTGTTTGAGCTGTTACATGTGATGCTAGCTGTGTCGATGTTTGGATACCGAGCAGGACAAAAATTTTAAAAAAAATTTCGGGGGCTACTTTTCAAGCTCGCGTGCATGAAAATAGCACTCTAAAATTTGGTTTGCATTGAACTTTATGCAAATTTACAAGGGCTCGTTTTGCCATTTCCGAGGCTCTTTTTGGCATTTCGGGGGCTAAATCGCTCTGAGCCCCCGTGTATTTTTTCACTGATACCGAGGCAACATTGACATTGACCCAGAGGCAATACTCTGCCCTATAAGTATAAATTTTGTGTGTCACACTTTGGGTGGCGTGTTAGATCCTACACACAACCTACCTAATAAACTATGCCACTAGTAGACTCCAACAAATTTAAAATCCTGCAGATGTAGCAGATTTTTAATGTTAAGGCTAACTGAGGTCGCCCTTACGACCTAGTCGCCGACAAAATTTGAAGATCGTACGTCAAAAACCGGCCAGATTGCTGATAAAAACATTGGCGACTAAACTCGACATGAGTTCTCTTACGATAGAGAATACGGTTGCTGACTGCGATCGCAGGAATAGAAACGGTTCTATTTCTATGCGGCGGTCGGCGACAAATCGTGAGTGGCAGCCAATCACCGCTACGTGTCGAGTCACATGATTATCAAAAGTCACATGATTAACAAAATGGCAGCCTACACAGCAGTTTACAAGGAGGGATTATCGCACAAACCATTCCTCAAATATATATTAAGTTTTTTCGGATATCACAGGCAATTTTTAGAAAATTGAGGATAGATTCACGAAGTTACCTGATGTTAACTGGTAAGCGTCATTTTGTTGGTCATGTGACTCGTTGTTAAATTTATGTAGACTGGTCCAGGGAAAAAATTAAAATATATTTTTCGGGGGCTACTTTTCAAGCTCGCGTGCATTAAAATAGCACTCTAAAATTTGGTTTGCATTGAACTCTATGCAAATTTACGGGGGCTCTTTTTGGCATTTCCGGGGCTCTTTTTGGCATTTCGGGGGCTAAATCGCCCTGAGCCCCCGTGTATTTTTTTCACTGGACTGGTCCCAGCGTCAAGCTTGCTCTGTTTGTGCTAAAGAACTGCTTGTGCTAGTACAAATACTGGGGCCGCAAACCCGTCTACGTTTCCTGCAGAACGCTAGGATCTGATCGGCGATGTACAGCGTGAAGTCACTTTAAGTTGACGTGAGTGTTGCTACGCTGCTAATCGGCGATAAAGTAGTCGCCGATAGTCAAATCGTAGGGCAACCTGAGCAGGGCCGTCAAATAATGTGGGATGGATTACCTAAGCAGTTTATGATATCCAATAATAACTTTATACCTATCATCCTAGATGCACAAACTGCAGAGGGGTTTTCGCCATCATGCTGACAGATGTGATTTGGGGGAATCTTATTTACGCTGTTCGCAATAAGAAATGATAGCCAAAATATATTTTATTTGTGCGTGAAGTTGTGAATGTGTGAAGTACGTTAGTGTGTAAAAATTAACACATTTTTACCCAACTGATTTATTCTACAATGAAAGCACTTCCATTTCTGCAATAAAAGCGACATAGGCCAAAGGTGAAGGTGGCATAGTTTCTCAGCCTGGGTGCAGGATGTAACACACTACCCCAGTATTCTAGGATTAAAATGGCACATGTCTGATTATACACGTTTTTTGACAAAATTCATTGGTCTAGTCATGACCCCTGCCTGCAGTTTGTTCAAATGTTCCTCTAAAACACAATCTAGCTGCATGCAAATCTCTGTGAACAAACTCACAGAATAATAGAACAGCTTTGTAAACTGTGAGTACCAAATTTAGACAACATTCATTACATTTGAGACAACTGCAGCACAATTACAATTTCTGTTTACATACCGTAATTTTACCATTGAAACAACGTAAGATTCTGTGCATGTTACGGTTAACGTTAACTTAACAGTAATGGTCAGGGTTCTCCCTACGTTGCGCAAACGGGGCGCGCGCGCCCCGTTTGGGAAAACTCCCCCCTGTTTCAATCGTTGCGCCCTGTTTAAATTACCTCCGCCCCGATTAAATTCCACCACAATAAAAGTTTGCCAGCGCGGGAATAGATCGTCAAGAATTCCCATTCGACCAGGACAACCGGCGCGTGTATTTTTACCGTGCCACGCATGCACTGCAGACAATACACAACTACAAACAGTTAACCTGTACTGAACCCAAGACTAACTGTAAACCAAAGATCGTATAGTGCTGGAGGCACAAGATAAACCATTCTCCAATCATAGCGTAGTAGCTAGGTCATGGGTCGCCACAATCGCCATTTTAGGAAGCAAGTTCACACGAAGTTCCCGGATGCTGCTGTATCTGCTACTGTGCAACTGTCTGCTGTGTGCTGTCAGCTCAGCTTACTGTTCTGCTGTAAATTGCTCGAATCGTCAGTGTAAGCCCGACCTGTCTTTCTTCAGGTTCCCCAAGAATACGGAAAGGTGAGAAAACATTCTTTTTTTGTCGAAATCCATCGTGAAAGAGTTGTGAAATCTTCGTTGATACGCCTACCAGTGGCAGTGTTGTTTGTGCACAGGTCGTACGTGCGGTGTACTTCACTACTTGTGTGTTGCAGATGAGCATTTAAACGACATTTACAGCAAGTTATCGACAATAATAGGCGAAATAGAGTAGAGAAACATCAATACTTTGATAGTAGATACATTTAATGTTTATTTACCATTATTTGTTTGAGACGGTACAATGAAGTGCCTGTGCACTGTACCACTGTCTGACACTACACCACTGCACTGTGTACATACTACATACCACATAGTAACATCTGATGATCCGATTATGAATCATTGTTAGATTTTTGTACACTTGAATGAGAGATTTGGTACAGCTATTGGCATAAAAATATTATCTATTACGTTATATTATAATATATATATATATTAACAGTGCTCAATTTTAAGGTTTTTTTTGGGTTGTCCGAGGACAACCAAGAGACCAAAAGGGTTGTCCCTCAAGAGTTTTGGTTGTCCGGATATTATTTAAAACATGTGCTGCATGCGGCTCTGCTCACGTGATGCTCAGTGCTGTAAAGTAAAGGCTATCACATGTACATTTTTATAGTATTGAGTTGGGGACAGCAGACATAGCCATTCGCATTGTTTCACTCATTATATGAAGATAATAAAATATTGGTAATGTGTAAATGATGCTGGATAATGACGTATAATAATAGTAATAAGTTGCATAAAATTTTATTTCATAACATTTACATTAACTACTAACATTACACTATTAACATTACTAACATTACTAACACTGTGTCAAGTCACAGATGAGCAAAAATTGAAATTAACACGAAACATTGTGTTTGTTAAACATGTAATGTTAATCTTTGTATCAACAAGCCAGACAATGCGTCTAGACATGTACGTTTGCAGCGTTTGTGCGAACCCTGGCCGTATGTAAATGAACGCGCGCATTATGATATAACAATTTTTATAGAGGTTGGACACGGACAACCACGGAAGCAATTTTAGTTGCCCGAGAGAAAATCCAGTCGTCACGGACGACGGACGACTGTTAAAATTGAGCCTGTATTAACCATGGTTATCCAATATTATTTCTATGAATCAAACAGACGCGGAGCGGGTTTTGCTTCCTAAAATGGCGGACGTGGCGCTCCATTGCGTACTACACGTCATTGCACGTGTTTCGCATGAGTGGTTTATTCTTGTGCCTCCGGCACTATACGATTCTTTGCTGTACACCGACTCGGCTATCTTATATATACAAGAACCCCACATACCGTCTATGGTGTGGTGGCGATTTTAAGCATTAATTAGTGGTACGGGTAAAAAAACGCCCCCCGGACCCCCCTAGGTTTCGGCCCCGCCCCCTCCCCTTCCCCTCCCCTCCCCCTGTTTGAATTTCATCCTGGGGAGAACCCTGATGGTCATGTATGCATGGGGATACCAAAGTATATCTTAAAGTTAAACTAACTGATCACTACATATGTGAGACCAGGTGGACGGCACACAGTGTTGGGTGTCGTGTGAGCCTTTTTACTATGGGAGGCAATTGCTGTCACGATGTTCTACCATAAAAGTCTTTAAAAAAGGCCCAAGTTTGTAAAATTGTTTATGCAGGCACTTACACCATACAAATATATATTAACTTGACAGTTTTGACAACCGGTATGTTTTCATGTTTAAACTTTTGCGACATTGACCCACTACATGACAAACAAAACGATGATTACATCTGTAGGAGATACAAAAACAAGATTAAGTAACTACCTGTAGTCAGCTTCCACACTTAGGGTTTGTGACCAAATGATTCTTCAAAGTGCTACCTTTCTAATGGTGTCAGTTCTACATACAAACTCTATACCACAAAATACCCATGGATACAAATTTAGCTGAAATTAATGCTGAAAGTTGTAGTAGCGTTACCTATTAATTATTCCTTATAAAAAGCTGCACTGTAAGATTGTGCCTGCCTAATTGTAGAAAATTGTAGCATTTTTCTTATGACGAGGTTGAATCTTAGTAATTATAAATGTGCATTTATCTGGAACAGCCGACCATATTTTTCTTAGTTTTATTGCTGCAAAATGCAAAATGCTTTTATTGCTATTATTTTTATTTGCTATTATTAATGCAAAATGCTTTTATTGCTATTATTATTTATTTGCTATTATTAATGCTATTATTGCTGCAAAATGCTGCAAAAAGGTGATTCTTATTAACACGGTCTTAATTTGTTATCAATGGCGCAGGCGGTTCGGAAATCTCGGAAGCAGCCGCACGAGAGCTACGAACAGACGCCGCTAATCGTCGCTGTGATCACGTATTTCGGCTACGCCGTGCTCGTCATCTTTGGCCACCTTCGCGACTTCATGAAGAAGCACGGACTAGAGGAGATACACTCCGCTAAGGAGTATCTCAAGGTACGACGCGACGATGCAGTGTTAGTTTCTAATTAATCGAGAATATTTTGCTGAATAGCACGAGTTAATCGTTGTGACGAAGGGTATGGGACAAAGTACAAATACTGCTTCGTCGGTTTATTAGTGTTTTCAATGTCAACGTGTATCGTAAAAATTTTTTAATCAAGGTTACATGAGTTGAAGGGGATATCAATATAAGAGTACATACTACTAGTACCTGAACGCAGCAAAAGGTCGTGTTGGGCTGCTATTAATGCTGACTGTACAAAATTCATCGCACTAGGTGCTGTAACAGCTCTAATTGCAAATCAGAATAAAAGAAATGAAAAATTTCAAGCATTAAAATCACAACTTTCTTTGTCATTTGAGCTCGCTTGGACGCCCCCTATAAGGAATCTTTGTTTACGTAAAAGTGCATCTAACGTGTATTTCAAAACGTGTCGGTATGCAAAGTGCAAACATGCTTTCATGTGCTTCAGGGTCATACTCCACTCTACTCTAGCTTTGAGAGCTTTTACACGAGGAATTTGTACGTGAGAATCCGCGACTGCTGGAACAGGCCCATATGCAGCGTGCCGGGAGCTGAGGTGGTGTGCCTGGAGCGCAAGAGTGATGACTACAACTGGCATCTTGAGTAGGTTTTTCTAGCAAGTAGAAATGCCATACCAACAGAGATTTGCGCACAGTGCATAGCAGGGGGTGGGGCCACCACCTCTAGAGGAGTGCCCGACACTCATTCTCCTGTCCATGAAAGGACCGGGCATTTTCCTTCCATGCTATTGAACTCACATCACTGTGGCTTTACTACTAAGCAGGTCATGTAGTATTTCATGGTTTAGGATGGCTGGGGAAGTTTCTGGGAAGGATTTTACGTTCTTCATCCTTCCTTCCAGTCCCTGGCACTCCAGGGCATGAAATTTTGTTTGTAAAATCAATGTCATGTTTCACGCTTGCATTCTTGATTTCAAATTTGTAAAATGTTGATAAATTATAGCGTAATATCCTTCAGGTAAAACAGTAGTCTAGGCTATTAGCTTATTAATGCTATAAATAAAAATGTTGGTACTCGCTAACATGGCTGAAACCAGATACCAAATACCAATGTTACTGGCCCTCCAAATAATTTGCCGGCATATGCCGGTGGGCCGGTGCTAATTTCGTGCCCTGCACTCATTCCTGATATCAACTGTTGCACGAGTCTTGTTTTGTTTCCATTGTAATTAACATATCAGCAGCAAGTAAGGCTTGCCATTAGTGTGCCTCTGATTTAAGCGAAGAAATTAAATTATTGGATTTGGTGACATCAGTGCTATATATATTATAGTTCATTTCTGATTGTCTGCTATGGGTCACCATACAAGTTTATTTGCTGTAGACAGTGATATGGTGACTTACTGTATTGCACGTCTGGTTATCTGCTAAAGCTCACATGTTAATCGTTTGCTAGTTCAAGTGCGGTTATTGGTTATCGCTACAGTTCATGAACAGTTCGTTGTCATACACAGAAGTCCAAACGCAGATATACCAAAAATAGATGATAGGAAAGTTTATTACTATTATGTTCATATTATTTTAGTAGCTTACATGTAGTAATTGTATCCCCCGAACGAGTTCGGGGGGATACTATGGATTTGGCCTCGTCGCGCCGCCGCCGCAGTGATTTCCTTGTGAGCGCTCTACCGGCTGCAGTTCTTCTCAAATCATCTTCAAATTTCGCATGAAGGTGCATTATCGTAAAGCGAAGACGCCAATCGTTTTTGGTGTGGGCGGAGTCATCATTGCCATGGTAACAACATTTTTTGTCAAAATATTCCAGAACCTGTACCTTCTGTAGTTTTTACCTGATTGTCATGAAATTTGGTACACAGGACCAATATATACATATATATATATATAGGACATGTTATATCAGCCCTGTGTGCCAAATTCCATGACAATCGGGTAAAAACAGCACAAGTTACAGGTTCTACAATATTTCCAGAAAAATGTTGTTACCATGGCAACGATGACTCCGCCCACACCAAAAACGATTGGCGTCTTCGCTTTACCATAACGCACCTTCATGCCAAATTTGAAGATGATCCGAGATCGGGTAAAAACTGCAAAAGCTAAAGGAAAATATTTTTTTTTAAAAGGGAAAAGGAAAAAAAAAGGAAAAAAGGAAGGTTTTTAAAGGAAAGGCTTTATTTCACCTTTACCTTGACCTTGATCATATTTCTCTTCCGCTCTCTAACTCAGCCCCTAATTGACCTAGCGCGACCAAACTTGGTATGCTTACACATCTTGGGGAGAAGGTCTGTCGCATAACAAAACCACCACTGCCCTTGACCTTAGTTTGACCTTGACCGTCGACTTACATTTCCTCTTCGGCCTCCTAGGGTAACCAGATTCCATATACTTGCACATCTGAGGCAGACCAGTTGTCTAACAAACCTTTGTCTTTGTGACTTATTTAACTTTACCTGCTTTCTACGTCCTTACAGAGATATTCCATTCATACTAGATCACGGGGGATACATGTAGTTGGCGACAACTGCTCGTTTCTAGTTTTTATTATTTAGACTTTATGAATTAATAACCTGTATTAGAGAGAGTGTGGTCACAGCTAGTGCAAAACTAGTTCAGTTCACCCATTCTGTAGCTTAATCT